ACACGCACACACACACACACGCACACGCACGTGCACACGCACACGCACACACACGCATGCACACACGCACGCACACCCACACGCACGCACACACACCCCCCCCATGCAGATCTATAGGCACACATGTCCCCCCACCAGCACACGTCCTAGAGGGAGCCTCCAGGTGTGCACCCAGCAGGCAGGTCCTCTATCCTCAGCCCACTGTCACAGCGGGGCCAGCCACGCATGGCTACGAGGTTTGGGTGTCGCCGCCGGCATGGCTGCCACTGGCCTGTGTGTTCCTGGGGACAAGACCGCCTGGTGGGTGCTGGCCACACATCTGACTCTGTTGAGAGTGGCCTGTGGCTGGTGACAGGGCTGCGAGGGAGCCTCTGTCGAGTGGGAGCAAACAGCAGAAAAAGTCAGCATTCCACCAAACCCCTGGGGCAGCATGGCACCCAGCCAGGCCCAGCTCAGGTTTATTTGGTGGTAAGATTTGTTCTCCTCCCCACCCCCCCACCCCCCCACCAGCCCCAGTGGTGTGTGCCGCCCAGAGTCTGGCCTGGATCCTCCCTGTTAGTCATTAGCAGCCTGGAGCTGCCCCTTGGAGCAGGGCTATGGTGGGACAGGGGAGGCCTGGGTCAGAGCCGTCTTATTAACTGGGGTCTTCTTCTCTGAAGGGATGGTGATGGACGGGCCCCCCAGAAGTGCTGCCCACCCCCCACTCTGGGCTCCAGTGGTTTCACTTAGTCCAGAGGGGCAGCCCCCCACATGCTGCCTCCCTCTGCTGGCACCTGCCCCTTGTGGGTCTGTACCGAGTCACATGGAAAGTTCTGTCCCGCTCCTGACTCTGGAGAAAATGCCCAGTATTTAGGCCTGGGGTCGACTCTCCACGTGGCTCTGGCAAAGACAGAGCCCTCATCCTCAAGCTGTAATGTGTCTGCAGGCCAGGTGGGCCTGGCCAGGGGCTCTATCCCTCCTGAGAGCACTGAAAACAGAGCTGCTTCCTCAGGGACAGCTCCGAGTATGTGTAACCTGCTGTCCGAGGACGGTGTGCTTGGTTTAAAGATCCGTTGTCACCGTCTTGAAATTCTTAATCATTTTTGAACAAGGGGTGGGGCATTTTCATTTCACACTGAGCCCCGCCTGTTATGTAAGCCAGTCCTAAATTTTGTTGTCTTCTCTTTAATATCTTTTGAATTTTGAACTATGGAAACATGTTTGTTTGCTTTTTATTTTATTTTTTTAAAACTTTATTTGAGAGAGGGAAAGAGCACAAGCAGGGGCAATGGCAGGTGGAGGGAGAGGGAGAGGCAGACTCCCTGTGGAGCAAGGAGCCCGATGTGGGGCTCGATCCCAGGACCCCGGGATCATGACCTGAGCCGAAGGCAGACGCTTAACCGACTGAGCCACCCAGGCGCCCCTTGTTTGTTTTTTAAACTTAATAACAAAACACCAAAAAGGAGAATAATAAAGAAGGACACATTTATGATTTGTGGCGCACATTTAGAAACAGTTCGTATGTCCGCTGCGGGGCACGAGCTGCTGTATATGCGCGCCTGAACACCACACGTGCAATCCACAGCCTGACGGACTCCCGGGAGAGCCCGTGTCGCATGCAGAATGCCAGCCCTTGAAGCACACAGAGACGCTGGTTTGCTCCCAGACCCATGCCACTGCCCGGGATGAGCCAATCCTGACTCCACAGCCGGGTGGGGAGACGAGGCTCCCCAAACTTCCTGCTGACCCCTCCCCCCCCAGGGATCCCCACCTCCGGGGGTATCTTCAGAGTCAGATGACATCAGAAGTCCTACGCTAACATCCCAGCTCTGCTGGGAACTCAGGGCAGAATACTTCTGTGGAGACAGGTGACTTCCATGGCGGGCATTGATGTGGCCTGGGAACCTCTGAGTGGTCATCTTGTCCACCCCCTTCAGGCTGGGCCCTGTCTATGCTGTCTGTTGCCCGAAGAGTCTGCAGGGACAGGGAGTCTATGAGTTTTCCTGGCCCCTTATTCTATAAATTTTTTTACTGTTATGTTAATCACCATACATTACATCATTAGTTTTTGATGGAGTGTTCCATGATTCATTGTTTGTGCATAACACCCAGTGCTCCATGCAGAACATGCCCTCTTTAATACCCATCGCCAGGCTAACCCATCCCCCCGCCCCCCTCCCCTCTAGAACCCTCAGTTTGTTTTTCAGAGT